TAATTCAATAGAAAATCCTTAACATTATGAACCTATGATTTGTCACATTATTATAGACATAGTATTGAAGTGTTTTATAATCGGAATTCTGATGAGTATTTCCCAAGAATTCCTATTATAATGCCATAAAATATAAGGAAAGCCGTTGTTATTTGGGAAATACATTTTGGCAACAAATATACAAAAAACGACTGATTATTATAGTCTGTCATAAAATTAATCCTTGAATACAATGCACTTGTATTCTTAAGCAAATACTTTGTTTTTTATTTGTCTCATGATAATAGCAATATAAATATGTTTTATTATATAATATTGTATGTAATTTATACTAATTTAATAAAAACAAAACTACCTCTACTAACTTAAAAAATTAATCACGTTTTATACACTGATGTAAGGTATTATTTAGCTTGATTAACTTTACTAATATACTATTTTGTGTAGAAATATTTAATTTAAACCAAAATAATAACAGGTACAAAGGTATAAATTTATGTTTAGGAAATGTTTGTGAAATATTAACAATTGATAAGTACACTGTACAATACCGTACAATTCATTTTATGATTGTATAGAAAATCCCACATATGATATTTTATTTTCATGGCAATCATAGGAATATATTTCGTGAAGTAATAAATATAGTATTATTTGTCGTCAAGAAAGTTATGCGTAAACTATACTATTATTTAATGTGCTAACGATATGGCATGTAATGGGAAAAGTCATTAATTATTATTGAAATTGATTAGAAAATTGTTGGATTTCTGATGAATAGGAAACTAGATTTAAGGCAATAAAGTATTGTTTGCGTTGAAAGTCATATCAATACTAAACTCCTTGACCATAATCTACTGGCGCTTCCACTCGAACTGACAGCACATTAAAGGGCACACAATCTTAAGGAAGAACTCAATCTTTTAATAATTAATTGTTGCCACAAATGAGATGTCTATTGATTGCATTCAACATTTCGTACAATAAATTGCATTGTATTGCAAATTGCTATCAAAATGATAAATAAATACAAGCGAAAGAAAATAGGATTTGGAACAACATAGTTGACATTACTCTCTCTCTCTCTCTCTCT